GAAAAGAATCCAGGACATATATTAAGCTTAGGGAGGCCAAATGGGGTGCTTTAAGCAGTTGTTGGGGGTGGGGCGAGGGCTTATCTCTGAATATAAGCAGCTGACACCTGTCCCCAAGACTGTGGGACACTCTCTGTTCCCTTCTCCAGGACTCTAGAAGAAAGAGACTGGGGGCAAGATTGCCCCCGGAGTCCTAATCTGGGCTCTTCTACACATGAGCTTTCAGTGACATGTGTTTAAAAATCCTTTTGTCCTCAGTTTCCTCATTTATAAAATAAAGGGATTAGAGCCTGAGGTTCTGTGTGGCTCTCAGTCAGAATTAGGAAGGAGAGAGGACCCTGGAAGTGAACCTATGCCCTTGTCAGTCATGATTGGCTCATCCTGGAATTCCAACCAGATGAGAATACATTGGAAAGAGATGGAAACAGATATGGATCCTGGAGAGGAGAGGTCTGCTACTAGGGAGAAGCTTCTCCGAGACAGTCAATTCCTGAGTCTTGCCTCAGGTGGGTCTTGGGCTCTGTTGTGACAAAGCATCTTGCTATCAGATGCCCTTGTGGTCCTTGATGGCATGCGTAGGCTTTGCTAATCTCCTCAGACAGAAATTCAGCTGCTTACAAACTAACGTATACACCACACTCTAAATAGGCAGCATCTAAGACCCGCAGTCAGGAAACGAAAATTCTTGTCTAACTTACTAAGTGACCTTAGGCAAGAATTTGGAAGCTAAAATGAGTAGAAGCAAGTTACCAATTATCTTCAAAACCAACTTCAAACGAACCATCTTCCTCTAAGCTAGAATCACCTCTCTCTAGAAGGCTGGCAATGTTCTAGAAAAAAGTTCAGATAGAAGTGAGAAGTTGAAGCAGCTTCTCACCTCACCCAACACAGGTCCTCAAAACTGGATTCCTCTGCCTGGGTAGTGACCTGGAGATTTATCAGACTCTACCTCTAGCCTGGAATAGACTTACCTCTTCTCTCCCTGGGAGTATTTTCTTAGTGCCTATTAAATGCAAACCTCGGTGCTCCGTAGAGTGAATCAGAGATGCCTAAAACACATTCTTGGCCTTGAAGAATTCTGCCCAGCCGGAAGGATACAGATGATTAATAACCATGATGCAATGGGAAGAACTCCTCGCTCTCAACTTACACCTGCTTTTTGAGGGTGGAGTCTGGCTAGACCAGATCTCATGGGTGGAAGAGCAGATCAAGCTGCTCTCAGAGCTGCCAGCCACCCACCAGCCTCCCACCAGCAATTATTCTTCTCAGGACACACACCTGACCTCTCTCACCTCTAGCATTGTGCATCCCGTTTGTATTCGTTCACAAATGGTGTGTGTGGGGGGGCGATGCTAACCAGCAACATCACAACATCTGTAACCGAGTGTCTACCATAGATGAATCGTTAGGAGTACAAAAAAGGCTGGGGAAAGCAGCTTTGATTTAGGACTTGGACCCTGTAGCCTTCCTGTGTGGCTTTGGCCAGAACAAACACTTTATACTCCAGTTTCTCTTAAAGGTGGTGGCAGGTCAGAGAGTGCCTTGAAATCTCAGGGTGGTGATGACTGATAGCATCCTGCCTGGTTCGCTTTCCCTTTAACATTTTCCTTTAACACTTTCCCTTTAACATCTCGGGGTTTTATTTTGCTTCTGGAGTAACTGGCTTTCTGAACACGTTTGTGGAAAGTTGAGAAATGAAGCCAAAGACTGGATGACGATTGCAAGCAATAAGAGAAGCTGGGTGTGCAATGGGAATGGTGTATTAACCGAAGGAAGTAGGGTTGGAGACAGAGATGAAGAAAAGGACAGAAATGGCCACTGTTCACAGGAGCTAGAAATAAAGACTTTCATTGGTGCTGCTGAACACCCCAAGACAGATGAAGGAATAGCTGCCCTCGCTAGCTTTTCAAACCACCAAAACAATGATTACTCATGGCTGCTCGGGTTGGCTCAGCTCAGAGCTTGCACAAGGATATGGTGGCAGAGAACTCTGGGCTATGAACAGAGGGGATCCATCAGGAAGAGGAAAGGCTCTAACTCACAATAAAACTAGATCCAGATGTGGCCATATGCACAGCATCCAGTAGCAGTGAGCACTGCCTGGCCCCTGCCTGCCTTGGGGCCAGGAGTAGTTTCCCAGGCATTTGATGTGGTGCCAGCCTTCTGCCTGAAGTCCATGCTCACTGTCTAGTCCTGCCATGCATCCCCTGCCAGCAGGTGCTGAGACCACTGATGCATGCCACACAGAAGGAAGAAGGCTGCTGATTAAATTACCAAATCCTCTTAGAAAACAGGGCCAACTCACTCCAAATAGAATTTTTAGGTCGTGATCTTTGGCGACTCCTGGGGGATTTTGAATGCTCCAGTGTGGTGCCAAGGATGGATTCTTCCCAACGGTTCCATCTTCTTCACCAGTGGAACCAGCAAATACAGCTGTGTACCCTGGGAAGGAAATCCTTTCTAATTTGTTTAAGAGCCACTGTGCTTCTGGAGTGGGGGAGGTGGGTGTGTAATGAGAGATGTTTCTTTAAAGAGGCACTGTGTGTGTGGGAGAGGGGTTCTTTGAAACTAACATAGTCCAGAGACTCTGTCATGCTAAGGTTTAGTAGACCTTCCTACTCCTCGCTCATTCACCCTCAACACACACAACACATTACAGACAGGAACATGGGATGTCTGTGCTGAGAGAAGTTGACAAATGCCTGCCCCAGGGCCTCAGCTGCTACTTCTTCAACAAGCCCTCCTGCCTCCGGAAGTCACTCGAGTTCTAAGCCATCAGTGCTGAGCTGTTGGATTTGCAGTGTGACTTAGGCTGCAAAAGAGGGGACAGTGAGTGTCTCATTCATTGCACTTAAAACACCAGCAGGTTACATATATGAAGGAGAAACAGCTACCTCACCTTGCAAGAGGTCAGTGTGACGATCACACCAGATGTCAGGCCTTTCTAGGGTGTATTTTTCACCCCATAGCCTGAGCTGGCTGTGGTCACACCAGGCTGCCTAGCACCACTAGGTACCAGAAACAAAGTTTTTGTTGTCTTTTCATTTGAGACATTTCTCCTTTCTCTAGTGATGTCATCCCTGGAAGACAGAGATGAAACAAGCGGCTGCATCATGTTTCTCCTCGCATCTCTTCTAGAATTACATCAGCCAAGAACCCTAAGGTGCAGTGACAAACAGCCAAGAAGCCAAGGGGAGCACGAGTGAGGCATGGGTGGGGAGGGAGGAAGGGTGCTGGCTCTTTTTCCATCAGCATTTCTTGTTCCCACTCCCCACTACTTATAAATCAAGTAAGAAGTCAGAAAAACATCAAACTTTAAAAAGAGAATTGTCTTGGCTTAAATGCTGTTGCCATATCTACACCCTTAGCTTATGAAAGCCGACCTTGGCGAGTTGTCTGGCTGACAATGACGGTCCTGCTCCTGAGTAGGAGCCATATCGGCTCCTCTGCCTTACACCTTTGTAGGTTTTGTTGGACGGTGGAAGTTGGCAGTGTGGAAATAACTGGAGATGTGAACTGTCAGACAGAACAGTGGCTCACACAGAGGCTCACACAGCTACCTGCGGGAGGTGTTGCCACAGAAGGCCACAGCAGGGTATGCCACTGCTCTTCATCTTCCTCGTCTATAACTGAACATGTAAAAATGTCATTTGATGATATACATCTGATGCATTCTGGGAGACAGATGAAGACTCTACCAAACCAAAGCAGAAGATTAAAAGGTGTGTCCTGTGTCCTCAAGAAGACATTGAGTATTTTAAAAAATATTTCCCACCCCCACCTCTTTTCTTTTCTTTTCTTTTAAAGGGATAGGTTTATTGCTGAACCACTCTCATTAATTAGGAAGAAAATTTCACCCTCCCTTCCTCTCTGATTCCAGTGTACTCCAGTATCCTCAGGATCCTTGAGCCTAGCTGTTCAGAGCATATTTTGGAAGAAAACAAAGCAAAGTGGCCTCAGGACTCCTCGAAAGGCCAGGAGTGAGATCTATTTCTGCAACACAGGAAGAGAGGTCCAAAAGGGCAATGGGGAAAAATGATTGGCAGAAGGGAGTTTGGGCAGCAGCACTTTACCACTTCCAGCTGATTGGGAGTAGCCCAACCAGAGACATCTGGATGGAGTTCACAACAGCAACAAGCAGAGAAAGCATGAACACCCTACAGCACACGCACCCACACCAAGCCAACAGCTCCGCTGTCTTGCTCTCAGAATGGCTCCCACTGGGCCAGGCTGGGCTGTAAGGGAAGGAAACGGGCTGTTCAAGCTGTCTCCCCCAGCCCCACCTGCGCCATGACTCACTCCTGGGTGTCTGGAGCCTACAGCTTTCTCTTTGCTTTTCTTCCTAGAGAAAAACAAAGCAGGCCCCACTCCAGAGAGTCCTCTTTAGGGTGCTAGCCGGTCTCCAAAGCACAGTGGCAATTTGCAGAGGAAAAGGATTATATATTATGTTTGTACTTGTACTAGGCCGACCCACAGGAGGTGGTAAAAAACACATGGCAAGTCATTCAGTAAGCAGCCTTACACGTGTAAACAGTGTGGTAGTTGAATTTACACCGACCTCTCCAAAATTAACTTGAAGGAAAAAAAAAATCCATATGCCAGGCATAACGCCGCACATCTTTGATCCCAACATTTGGGAAACAGAGGCAAATAAATCTCTGAATTTGAAGCCAGCCTGGTCTATATTATGGAGTTCCTAGCCACTTAGAGGCACACAGTGAGTCTCTTGTCCCAAAAGCAACAAGCAAACAAAACTGCACACACACACACACACACACACACACACACGGATTATGAAATATACAGAAGAAATCTGGACACAGATATAACACCCAGAATTGTCTGATCTATAAACACTTTAGGAGATGGACAGCATGGTTTCACCTTCTCCAGCCCTCTCCAAGCAGAAGCCAAGCGACTACACTAAAGCTGGAGGCACAACCCCGCCCCCACGGCCTCACCGCCAATCATCTTGGGTAGCATTTCCAAAGGCTCGCCTGTTCTGACAGCTTTTCCTCTTTATTCTCACCCCGCTGACATGCAAACAGAACCGAAACAATGCTGCTCAAAAAATAACAAAATGTTTTATACACATTTCCATATATACAACCAAACAACACTTTACAGGTATCTTTTGCACAGCAAAAGAGATATAAACATTCAGCTCCATGAACACAGTTATGTACAAAAAAAAAAGTCAAAAATACTTCACAACAGTGCAAAAATATTTTACATAGCATCATGGAGTAGGAGCTTTGAGGGGGGGAGGAAGGTGTGTATTTCTAAAGCAAAATTCCTTTTTTTGTTTCTTAGATATTAGATTTCTTTAACTGTAAACAAAACACAACTTTTATACCCTGCCCCCCCCCCCATAGAAGAGTTATTTGAGAAATTTGGCATACTTTCAAGAGTTTGAGTCTGAGGTAAACAGCCCAAGCTCTCATATCCAAAAGAACTGGGGGCAGGTAAGCGGCATTAAAGCCTCCAACATTATGAAAGTGACTTTGTTAATGAGATACTGATGACAGAGAGAGGCCTTCCAGTCAGGGGGCTGGAGAGGAAGTTAACCCCTCCTTCCCAAGTCCCAGCTGCCTCACAAACAGGAAACCGGCTGCTGGGCACCTCCAGCCCGCCCTTGGCCTTTTCCAACTTCAGCCAGCTTTCCCTCACTCACACCCTCACCAACCCCAGAGAGCCTATCTCTTTGCTTCTTCCCCGCCTCCACCTCCCTGCTCACAACCTGGGCCACCTCAGAGCCAAAAGCGCTGGGGCAACTAGAGGGAGAGAATGGCTTCCCCAGAAAACTCCAAACTCAGGTCTGGGTCTCCAGTGCATCGTTCTCTCTTTCCTGGAGGTTAGGAGGAATAGAACTACGGTCGGAGAGCCCCTGTGTGTATGTGGGGGCTGGGGTGGGGCACGGAGACGTCTTCTGGTAGCTTAGCCCGAGTAGGGCTCATCTAGGCTGGTGCTGTCAGCAGGGCCGGATGGGTTACCAGGGATGGCAGAGGTGGCGTCCAGGCCTCCACCCTCGATGGAGCTCTCACTGCCTGTGCTCTCGCCCGACAGCAGGCGTGTCACCCTTAAATCGGACTCCAGGGTGCTCACGTCATTGCCAAAGCTTAGGTCGCCCAGGTCACTAATAAGCTGTGACAGTTGGGCCTTCATGTCTGAGGCACAACTTGACAGGGGAAGTGACGTCCCCGAGCTGGGGCCCAGCGAGACCCCGTCGTCCCCCAACGCCTCCTCGTGGCCATTTTCCAGCGGGTCCATTATGTCCTCACATTCTAACTGCATGGCCACCAGCAGCGACCTCTGGGCCTCAGTCTCTTCCTCTGCTGGATCCCCATCCCCCACGCGGTCCTCTTCTTCCACCTCCTCCAGGCAGCCCTCGAGATGCTCCTCTTCTTCCTCCTGCAACTCCTCCTCCTGCTGTTCCCCAAGCAGGTCCTCGGTGATGGAGCCCAGCTTGGGAGCGCTGCGGCTGCGCTCCACTGGCGGCTTGTAGCAGCAAGGTCCGTGCAAGAGCAGCTTGCGCAGCGGCACTAGTGGGATGGTGTGTGCGCCCACCAACTCCTGCTGCTGGTGACGCGCATCATCCCGCCGCTTGAGGCGTTTAAACTCTGCCAGAGCGTTGGCTGACGTCTGGTAGAGCAGCAGGGCCATGGCCTGAGCCTTCTCTGGCTTGGACACCAGCACCGCGTGGCAGCGTAGCATTACCGCCTTGTGCTTCAGCTCATGCCGGTACACCCAGGCGAAGACTTTGGGCAGCCGCGCGTCTGCCACACAGTAGGTGACGCGGTGCAGCAGGTAGAGGTGCCCGGGACGTCGCAGCGCTCGCTCCTCGGCATGCACCATGCGGATGCCTTGCGCACTCACGGTCAGCTTCATCTTAGTCCCTTGACGGCCAGCCTCACTCTTGCTCCAGATCTTGCCCACCGCTAGGTCAGTGCAACCGTCCCCACGCGCCTGGATGGTGGTGGCGTTCCCCAGGTAGAGCACAGTGTAAGTGGGGTCCTCACTGGTGATGTGCAGCTTCTTGCGCTTGGAGCGAAACATGCTGCCCACCCGGCTGAGCGCGCCTTCCGGGCAGGCTTTCGCCAAGGAGCTGAGCGCGGAGTAGTGCAGGCTCACAGCGTAGCCCTTAGGCTTGGACGCCTGCCGCGGCGGCGCCTCGGCCAGCAGCTCAAACTTGTGCTTCTTCCACGGCAGCATCTCCGGAGGACGCCCGGGAGTGGCTGGGCGGCGGTGGCCGAGCGCGGGGTGCGAGCCCCGCAGGGCCACCAACCCAGGCTACGCTTGGCCCGGGCAAGCTCGAAAAATAAAACTCGAGCTGGAAGAACCTCCGGGACAGAGAGATGGAAGCAGAAGAGGCCAGATAGTGCTTGGGAATCCCGCAGGGGCTAGGGTAGAATCTTAGAAAGAAAGAAAAAATTCAGTTCGAGTGTGCAAAAGAGAGGCGTATACACACACACACACACGGGGGTGGGATTACAGAAGCCTAGATGAGGAGGAGGACTAGGTCAAAAGTCTCAGACAAGCAACAAAATAAGAGAGCGGAGCGGAAAATATTTTAGAAAAAGGCCAAATGAGTGCGTGCAAATAAATAGAGGGGGCGGCTCGGCCAAAGCAACCGGGATGGTGAGAGAATAAGCTGGAACTCTTCTTCAGCGAACGTGACACAAACACACAAGTCTTGGGCCAGGGCCAGGAGCCGCGGAAACTACAGCAGTGCGCCCAGGGGCCGATGCTCCCCACCCCCAGTGGGTGCGGGAGAAGGCGAGCCCCTCGGCTGGGCTGGTCCGGGAATGAGCAGCTTGCCCCAAGTGCAGTCCGAGAGGTCTGGCTGGCCGCGGCGGGCCAAACACAGCGGTCCCGCAGCTCACTGCATCCTCGCTCCGAGGGGACGCCGGAGACTCGCGCTCGGCCGGCTCGGCCAGGGTAGCGCGGGGTTCCGAGGGCAGGACGCGCACATCGTCCGCTCCGGGGACTGCTGCTACCTCATTGCTTCTCTCTGGGGGTGTCCGGCTCCGCTTCGGGGTTCTCGGCGATCTGCAGTGCGCCCTCTGTGGTCGTGTGCACGGTAACCGATTCGCTAGCCTCACATCATTGCCGTCCGGGAGGAAGCTCTCGGGTTAATATAGGCCGGCACGAACCATTCACCGCGCGGACAGGGGAGGAGCACAGGAGAGGATCCCTTTAGGGCTGCGACGCAGGACGCAGTTCTGGTCTCTTAAAGGGACCAAGTTGCAGGCACTGGTCGAGGGAAGGGAAGGCTAGTCCACTTAGGCAACCACGTCCCAAATTTACCAGCATCTCTTTTAGCTATAGAAACCAAAAAGACCTGGAGTTACCCGATAGCAAGAGGAACTTGACACTCCACCCTAGGCTAAATTGCAATTCGCTGAATAAGTGTATGTCTAGATCGAAACTTCTGGAGGAGGTGGTGGAAGTTGAGATTTTAGACTCTGGGGGAAATTGTGTAGTATTCTGTTGTTGTTGTTGTTTTCCTTCTGTGACAACTTCAAGAGAATTTGCAGGTTCTGTTTACTATTATTCTTTAATAATCATGTATTAAAGATAATACAAAAGAAAAAAGAAAAGAAAATATAAGAGAGTCAAAGACCTGTTACTCTCTTGGTGCCATTTATCCACCGGTGAACAGCAGGTAACGGAGAGCTCGTAGTTAAGATAACTAACTGTCGTGAACAATGTCAAGCACAGTAGTGAATGATCTCTAAGCTACGTGCTTCCAGTTTCAACCACCCCCGACCCAATAACACGCTCTCCTGCCACATACTCTCAGAATGAGGCACTTTTTTGGAGACATGTGAAGTTTCTAAGTAAAGCTGTGCTGCTGTTTGTAGACCTACCACTGATGCAGTTTGGGTGAGAATTCTTAGTAAAAACTTAAATGACATTTTTCATGTCTTTTTTTTCACGAGCTAACTGAAAAATATGGGGTTTGTTTGTTCCCTGTTATTTTTCTACTTTTCCCTTCCTTGAGACAGGATCTTGCGATCTAGATCAGGCTACGTTCAAATTCGGATCCTCTTGTCTCTGTCTCCACAATTGCAGGCGGGCATTGCCCTGTCTGGCTCTAGACAAGATACTCTTAGTCACTCACCAGCTTGCTCCCCTGCTAGGAAGTTACTTCTGGGCCCTTGAAACAACCTTCTTGACACCAAAGGGTCAATCAGTAAAAGCAAAATGAGTTCTATTTGATAAATGAGACATCCCAGTGAACAGAAATATTTTTTTGCTGGGTTAACTGCAGCCAGAAAAACCCAAGTCCTATGAGAATCTGGGAGAAGGGAGAAGAGAGTTCACTGTGACTAAGAAAATTAAGAACGAATTCAGGGAGCAGGTGATGTTTGAAAGGTGATTTCCCCAAGCAGGAGGGGGATTGGAGGGCTTTCTGAGAGTAGAGGATGATCAAATTCCAGGATTAAAGTACAGACACATGTATAAGATGCTACAGAGTCAGTGATAACAATAAAGAAACGTTTCCCCATCAACGAAATGTCCTATAATAGATTTAAACACCCCTTCCCTCTGGAGGAAGGAATGGCCTTTTTCTTGCTGGCTGGTCCTATGAAGCATCTTAACTAGGGTCCTAGTGCCCTACTGGCCAGCTGTGTGGGTGGGTTAATGGGGGGGGGGGGAGAGGGGATACCAGACATCATGATGGAACAGACCAGAATTATAACAATCTATTATGCCAACATGGATGTTTCTGTTCTGCCGAAGGGACCGAAATACTGTGCAATGCCAATCATGACAACTTGCAATCTAAAGAACAAAATATTCTGGGGGAAGCATACCAACCTAGCCTCAGCTGAGTGATCTTTTTCCTACTCTATAATCCCAAACTCTAAAGTAGACCCTATATCGAAGATGTGACCATTTCCAAGTGACCAGGATGTCTGAGGGCCAGAAAGGCGCCGAGGAGCAAGAAGAGGACCAAAGATAGTCTCACCTCCACGGGAGGCATGACGATGGGCTACACCCAGGGACAGAGAAACCAGAGAGAAACAGAAATAAGGAAGCATTGACCACAGCTCTTTGGTGGCAGCCAGAGTACCAGTGTCAGATGTACAGGCTGTGTCACGCCTAACTACCTGTTTAATAAGCTTGTTTCGATCTTGGAAGAACAGAAAGGTTCTAGGTGAATGGGAACACCCCGTATATGAGTCACGTCCTGGGCTTGTGCTTTAAGACCCAGGAAGGAAACCTTGCTATCTCCTCCAGGCCTAGACTTTGGGTAATCTTTGGGGGGTCTATCTACCTTGCCTTCTGGAGAACCTGGCCACTCTTGCTGAACTCTGAGGTTGCAGTTCTTCAGTGGAAGGGAGAAGGAGGTGACAGGCAGTTCAGAAAGAGAACAGTCTCATCAGAGTCCATTGAGAAACTGGTTAGACACTAAGGCTGTACTTTTAGTGACACTGCTCCATCTACTGGTGGCAGAGGAAAGTGCCACTTGGTGAGTTTGTTTCTCACAAAACTGGACAAGCCAGTGATTGAATCGATACACCAAGTCTCACCTGAAAAGAAACACTGCCGGCAGGAGTGCCAGTCTCTCAACTTGGCATCTGAGAACCAGCCTCCCAGATGGCTTTTGGACTGGCTTTCCGCCACTGTATGTTTTGCATAATGCTCCTCCTCCCCTGCTGTCCCACTAACTGGACATGGACTTCAAGGTGACAATGGTGACTCTGGAATCTTCGAGTCCATTGAAAAATATTTGTTGAGAGTCTGTTGTGGTGATAACGTTGCTGGAAACTGAACAGTACAGCTGGGGGTGTTTGCTTTCCTGGGAGTGATAGCCTATGGATAGGCAGATGACCAACTCCCAAGGAATAAAATGCCCGATAGTGCTAAGTGAACAGGAGGCAGTACTAGTTTCTCAGAGATAGCCATGAACACTGAACATCTGAGGGACCCAGGCATTCAGAGATGCTTGCACTGGCCAGTAAGGTTGGCATGTGGGGCTCTTGAGCACCCAAGAGGTGGTCAGCTCAAGTTGAAGGATGCCACAAGTATGCTTTTGATGACTTAACAAGACAAAAAAAAGTGTAATAATTTTATGTGAATTTCATGCTGAATAACAATATTTAGGCCACAGTGAGATAGATCGAAGGCATTGCATTAGACTTCCTTCCTCCCGTTCCCTTCCTTCTTTAAGATGGCTGTAGGATCACATGCTCAGGCGCTGTTGTCCTAATCAAAAGCCACAGCTAATGTAAGGCCTTTCGGTTTTATAATAAGCTGAACTGGCTCAAGGACGTTCAAGCTTTTTTATCCCCCTCCGTGATCTTATCATCTTACTATTCCAGCCCCTCTGTCCTTGACTCCTGTAAGGTCTGTTTTCAACCTCCTCAGCCTTACCACCACCTACACTGGCATTACTGAGAGGCCACTGAGTCACCGCAGGTATCGCCCTTAGAGGGGGTTCCCACAGTTTGCGTGGGACTCCAGCTAATTTCCACCAAAGAATATTACTACGAAAGAGCAAGCAAGGCTGGCCCGCAGGTCCGTTTCCAGCTCTCTGTCTCACCACACGGTTCTCTGTCATGTGCAGGCTCTCATACATGTGATCTGCCATGACACAGCCAACATGTAAGCGTTCTGATGTTGGGCCCCACCTAGCTGCCCAGCCGCCTTGGCCTTTCCTGGCAACAGAATCGATGCTAAATAATGAAGGATGGCCTAGCCTTTCCCGTGGGCTGCTAAGACGGCTTCTTCTGTTCCTTCCATTGCTTGTATGGTGCCATCTAACTGAAATGGTTTCTGTCACTTCTCCTGGCTGGTCCCTAGTTTGTCTGCCTTCCACCTCCACCACCACCATTACCTTTCCTCCTCCTCCACCACCATTATTCCCTCCTCCTCCCCCCCCCTCCTCCTCCTCCTCCTCCAGGGAGGCGGGGGGGGGCGGGGGGGCGTGAGTGGTTCTTTTTTAAAAGGCGGGTGTAAGT